ATTTTCAATATTCGTTTTTTTTTTTCAATATTTATAATTATTGTATTTTTTTTTCACATGAAATAACTAGTAAAGTTTCTGAAAAATCAACTTAAAATGCCTATCAAACAATGCTGTATTTTCAATTCACAGTTAAATTTTTAGGTATTTTATTCTCATACATATTATGCTATATATGTAAGTAAGTGTATTTATTGTATATGTAAGTTTGTGTAAACTGAGTTTTTCTTTTAATTGTATATATTTATGTTTATTTCAAATTGTATATTTAACTGCTTAGTTCACGAGCGAAAAATTGCTTTACCAAAATTCTATTTTTTTCTTCTTTTTTTTAAATTATCTTCATCAACATTTTTTTCGCTTTTTTCTTCATTTTTTTTTTCAATGTGAATTTTTTGATTTTTACATATTTTTTTTTTTTGCTATTTTTACAGTTTTGTTAATTTGTTTATTTTTTGTTGTTGTTTATTTTTCTTTCAGTTTGTTGCATAAATTACAGAGAAAAAAAAACAAAAATTATAATAATAATAAACTTTTCTGTTGTGTAAAAAAATGTGAAAAGTTTATGCGAGGATTTCAGATTTTGGTTGTTCTACCATTATATGTATGTATTTAGTAATTAATTAACTGTAAACTAAAAATAATTTTAGTTTTTCTTATGTTTTTTTTTTTTGTATTTCTCTCTCTTGCTTTGCTTTTGTGAACTTTTATCAGCGTTAACGGGCGTTTATTAAATATTGTATGTATTGTATGTATGTATGTATATATGAGTTTTAATTTTCGTTTACCATTATCATTTCGTTTTCTGCGTAAATAAAAATATTTCACAATAATAATAAAAATAATAATAATAATAATTCTTTAACGCAATTTCAAATTTTATTTATTTCTTTTTATTAGATTTTCTTTTTTATTCTATATATATATATATTTAAATAAAATATAAAATTGTATAATATATGTATGTTTTTAAGCAAAGTTTAATATTTATAAAAAAAAAAAGTAACAAAAAGTAAGTATAAATATATTTATATGTCTGTATGTATGTATATTATTAATGCATGTCATTGTAGTATCAATTCAAATTTTTATGAAATTTTTCGTACGTTTGTGTGTACATACAGATGTATTGTACATAGTGCGAAGGAAGTCAAATATTTGCTATGATTTCACTTTCTTATTTCATTTGTTTTTGCTTTTATTACTTAGTAGAAAAATATAATTTTTGTTATAAATTTACTATATACATGCTATGTATATTTGTATATTTATATATGTGTGTATGTAAGCTGTAGTTCTGTATGTTTTTCTTTGTATAGTTGTACTATATGTACAAGTGTTTATTTTATTGTTGCTATTTTTTCTTTTTTTTGAATTTTTATTTTAACTATTTCTATGCATATTGGTTTGTATATATGTATGTATATATATATATATAAAAGGGTATTTTGCTTGTTGTACCGGAAGTTACTGTTGTTTTTGTTTTTTGTGGTTTTGCGATTTTGCAATTTTTTTTTCATTCGTTAAACTTACTTGATATTATTACGAAATTCTTGAAACGAGATTTCAGTATTGTATTTTACTGTTTATTTTTATTTTTATTTTTATTTTGTTTTTTGTTGTTTGCTGAAATTTTGTTTTTTAAAACAGTTTATTTAAAGCGTATTTAAGCAAAAAAAAAAAAAAAAATGAAGTAAAAAAAACATTTCTTCATTTATTTTAGTATTTTAAAATTTTTTATTTAATAATTTTTTATTATTATTTAATAGTTTCTTGCATTTTTCGTATTATATAATATATATTTACATTTAAATTTTAATTTTTATTCAATTACTATTCAATATTTATTAGGCGTATATGTATATTTATAGTATATAAACAGCGCTGAATTTTCTTTTTATAATTTTTGTTGTTAAAATAATTTTGAATTCATGTGCATATATGCGCGTCTGAGTGTGTGTGTGTATGGGTATGTGTGTTTGTAACTCTGTGTATGTAAATATTAACAGCGCGCGAGTGGCGTTGGCGTACATACATACATATGTACATATATGTGTAAAAAAGTTAAGCTATAAACTGTGACTATTTGAATAAATTGTTAAGGAAATGGAGTAAGAAAATGTATGGCAAATGAGTTTTGTAAAACAAAAACAAATAAAACAAACAAAAAAAAAGACTTTTAAGCGCAGCACTTTCATTAAAGCTTTCACCAAAGCGTTTGTGTGTTCAAAGTTCAAAAATGACAAGTGAAAACGAAAGCTGACGAAACTTAAGTAGACTTGAACGAAGCAACTTTCCCCCTCCTCCCACCCCCCACCGCCTGCACACTCACACTCACTATCTCTCACTCTACTTTTTCGCCCGCTTTCGTGCACTAAGTAATTTTTCTAACTCTATCTCTATCTCTTCCTCTCTCTCTCTCTCCCTCTCTTATCTGTAACTGATAAGGTGTAATTTAAAAAAAAAAAATTATAGTTTTATTAAAAGTCACCACTCGCTTGATAGTAGTTGTGTATGTATGTGTGTATTTCTTGTAAAAAAAAAGCTGCTTTGCTTAAAACCGTTGTGTAGGTATGTAAGTAAGTGTGTGTGTGCAACTGTATATATATACTATTTTTAGTAAGCTTTTAATATCATATACATACATATGTATCAACTGTACATAGGTTAAATTTATATAGTATATATGTATAGATATAAATGTATTTAGTACATATTTATTTATTTATATAGATATATATGTATGTGCAGTAAAATAAATCTTATTAGTAAAAATTACATCGACAGTTAAACAGTTGAGTACAGGTAACTAACAACCAACCAACCAACCACCCACCCAACTAGCCAGCCCGCCAGCCAGCCATACAACCAACAAATCAAACGAACAACAACTAGTGAAGAGGTGAATTATAACGCGAAAGCAGCTTATCACCCACCACACTGAAAATCACACCCGTTGGTCCTCAAAAAAAAAAAAAAAAAAATCCTCAAAAAAAAAAAAAAAAAAATATGGTCAGTCGAGATGTAAAATTTTTAGATGAAATGTTTTATCGAAAAGAAAAAAAAAAAAAAAAAATGCTAGAAAGCCAAACTAAACAGCCGAACAACAACCTGCCTCAACTTGTAATTCATTAATATATGTATGTATAATTTCTACATAATTTTTATATATATATATATAGTATATATTATATAAATATGCGTAATTTGTATGTAGCATTTTAAGTTTAAATTTTCATTAATTTTACATATTTGTTTGAAATTCATTTAAAAAAAAAGAAAAGAAAAGAAAAGAAAAGAAAAATGGAAAACTTTAAATATTTGAAATATTTAAAAACATAAGCAAAAATATATACATACATAGAAGCTTATTTAAGTTATATAATAGTTATTATATATGTAATTCATAAACGCGTTATAAGTATTTAAAAAAAATGTATATATATATATATATATGACCTACTAAACTACTCAAAAAATAAAAATAAGTAAATGTGCTTATTAAAAGCAAATTCCAGAAGTAGTGACAGTTGCAGTTAGTTAGTTGTGTTTATTATTATTATTTTTTCTCTTTTTTGGTGGGGTTTGATGATAAAAATCATCAAATAAAATAAACATATTTTTTTTATTAAAAAAAAAAAATCCATTAAAAATATTTTCATTCAAAAAGTAATTTTCGTTTTAAGGTAGCTTATTATTGCGCTTTATTCATATTTAATTCCTTTTCTAAATTTCCATAAATTGCAGGTGTATGCATGTATAGTTTAACAATATATGTAACTAATTTGTAGTTGTGTAGTTGTTGGTGTATGTAGGCATTTTGGAAAAAAAAATATATATATATAAATGTAGGTATGTTAATTATTCATTAAAAAAAATATTAAAAAACATACAAAGAAATTTTGAAAATTTTTTGCATAACATTTCATTAGCATTTTATTGAAAATCTACACTGTCATATTTTATTTTTAAGTTTATTTTAATTTTAGTTATAATTTTTTTTTACAGCCAAATATAGTCTAAATTAAATGAAATTAATATGTAAACAAAAGACTTTTTTTCTTCTACTCCTCCATTATATGCTATACATAACGCAGTATGTATGTATGTACATATGCATACATATATATATATGTATTTCGTTCATATAATATATATGTATGTATGTACATATGCATACATATATATCTATATATATTTCATTCATATAATATATATGTATGTATGTACATAGTATGTATAGTATGTTGCACCCTTTTATAAGAAGTTACATCGAATTACAAATTTGTTACAAAAATACATTTTTTTAATGTTTTTATTTTGTAACAACAACAATGTTTTTATACTTCATTTAATATGTTTTTTATACGTGCTTTGTGTTTGTTTTTTTTTCAGTTTTTGCGAGGCATGGCAGCAACAACGTTGGAGGCACGTTTGCTCGCTTACGCTGTTGGCCATTTTGAAATGCCGCCGCTGTATTCGTTCTTTGTTAATGGTTTCAAAAACAATTTAATTTTAATTTATATGTACGCTTTGTTGTTGTTGTTGTTATATTTTATATAGCCGTTCATCAAACGCTTTTCTTCGTATTTTGTGTGTGTGTGTGTAAGCTTCATTGTAGTTTCATTTCTGGTCGCATTCTTTGCAAATTTCTTCGGTTTTTTTTTTTTGTTTTTTTTTTGTTTCTTAAATATAAAGTTTTTTGTTTTGAGATTTTTTTCTTTCTTCATCTTCTTCTCATAATTTCTCATTTTTGTTTTGTCCAGCAGTTAATAATAATTTTGTTTAGTTTTTCTTTTCTTTGTCCTTTCTTCTTCACATACATATTAGGTTTTTGCTACAATATATGCTTTTTTTATCGAGTTCACGTCATTTGTTGGTTTTTTTGTTTTTGTTTTTGTTTTCCTTTTAACTTTAAGTTTTATACGATTTTTTTTTGTCGTTTTGGTTAAGAAAAATGATATCACAAAAATGTAAAATGTTTAAATGTATGTAAGTTTATATAGTAATTTTAATAATAAAAAAAACTAAATTTTATATTACAAAAAAAAAAAAAAATAAAACAAAAAAAACACACTATTCACTAGGCATTGCATATTATGGAAGCAAAATTTATGTATTTAAAAATTTATTTTAATGCAATGCTTCAAGCGGCAGCGGGGCGTAGAGAATACTGGCATACGTATATACATATGTGTGCATATGTTTGATTGCCAAACGCAATAGCACCTCCTACTGTCGTCGGCGTGCAGTAAAATATGCCGCCCTTGCGCATTTGATAGTTGTTGTTTTTTTCGTTTATTCTTCAAAATAACTATTCTTAAAAGTATATAATTTATATACGTTATATATTAATGCAGTAAATATGTACATACTATGTATATGTAGGCATTCAGTAAACCAGAGAATTGAGTTTTAAACTGTTTTGCTGTTGCTACATATTCATATACGTATGTATGTATTTATTACTTCTTTTCTACGCTTCTTATAATTTCTTTCTCAAATTGGTTTAACTTATCGTCTATAATTTAACAAAAAAAAAATTTGAATTTATCAAATAGTAATTATTTAAAATAGTAGTATTATTTTTTAGTAGTAAGGGTCTGTAAATTTTATAATTAATATATTTTATAAATGTTGTAAAGAAATCAAACGCTGCTAACACTATTTCTCTGTCCTTCTTAACATATACACCCAACTAGCTCTTTAACACTGTTATTTAGTCAAGTGTATGCGCCTTCCAAATACATATTTACACAATCAAGAAAAAAAAATGTATATTTGATTTCAACACTCAACTCTCGCACGTGCAAATAAATGCTACTAGCATCCCTAATGCTCATATATACATTACATATACACAAAAATCTTTATATCTTTACAAGCTTTACTTCTCCTCCTCCGCCTCCGCCTCCTCCTCCTTCCTTCACCTACACCTCAGCATGCACGCAGCACGTTGAATATTTGACGACTTACACCCTCGGCTGTTTGTTGCGTCGGCATGCATTTTCAACAACATCACAATGATCATCATCAACGGCCACAATAACTGCTTTGTATAAATGAATTCTTTTCAGCTTCAGCATTCACCTCGCCACCACCACCACCTACATCCGCTTGCGCGACATTATACACGATCTCGCACATTCCATAACGGCTATCATCAATCTCTCATCATGCTACGCAAACGCGCCAAATACTCTTGTCGCTTACGCATTTGCTCCTTGAGCGCCACCTTCGTATCACATAACTGTTGGTTTTCACGTGTCAACGATTCGCATAATTTCGCCGCTTCACGCAGTATATTCACCTTCGGTGCACGTTCCTTATCCTTAATGCTCGGTATTTGTTTCTTCAACTCCTCGAAGAGATTCTTCAAACCGATACGCCGTTGACGTTCCATATCGTTGTGCAAATTACGCTTCTCAATCGTATCGGCGCTCTCATCGAGACTCATAAAACGACTTTCGATATCAACTTTCGTCATCGTACAACTCATAGCGCCAACATTGTGATGCTTCGAAGACTTTTTGCCACGATGTTTCTTATTCGGTGGCAAAGTATAGTCTAGATCACGACTAATATCAGCAGCACTATTGCTGCCGTTCACACCGTTCACGGTGATACGTTTACGTGATTTGTCGCCATTTACTAGGCTACCTGCTGCTTGTTGTTGTATGAATTTATTGGCATAGGTGTGCGTGTTGCCATTATGATAGGGCGTGGCAGCTGGTGAGGGATAGCGTGACGTAGAGACTGATTTCACGGGACTACTGCTAGCCGGCGAGCAGGGTAGTGTGTAGGAGCCATGACGACGTGGCGGTATCGTACGTATGCCATTCGGATTCTTAACAATGCGCGCTGTGGAGAATCTATAGCCAACTTTATGTTCGATAGCGCGACGATCACGATCTGAGGGATTTGTAGGCAATTTTTTATCACTAACCGAGACCACGTCGATTTCTTCATCTGCAATGAAAATGAGAGGAGGTAAAATTTGATTAGAAAATATTGTTTTTTTTTTTTCAGCTGCTTTCTATTTGTGAAAACATAAATTAATAAATAATGGAAAATGTAAAGATTTTCGTTTCAAAGTTGACCGCAAAATACGTGTATATATATTTTTTTTCACCAGCTTATCAACTCCATACCGACTGACAGCTATTGTTCTGTAGCAATTTTTCAAAATAACTGATAGCATCTTAGGGGGCTGATTTAATAAATTGCTTTTGAAAAACGTGGGCTCGCTTCGTTGTGAAATCTCACCCTCAACACCCTCACCACCCTTACTCTGCATCAACTGCGTAAAACAACAACGAGTTTCGCATAAATCCAGCGTGAATAAAAGCACAAAATTGTAGCTAATAACACGTTGCGTCGTCTAATAAATCAATAACAGACGTTTGACGCCACCATCCTCCATTGTTGAGTGCCATCGATTGTATCAAGGTACTACATGCATATGTACTGTGCAAGTGTGTGTGTTTGGGTGCAAACGTGTTGGAAAACTAGCACTAACTGTTCTATTTATGTGGAAACGAGCTTACCAAACATATGTACAACTAACACAAAATCATTGGATATGTCAGAGATATAAGGAAAATGTGCGGAAACACAAATCAGTGAAGAGACAGTCGACCAAATAGACAACGAACGAACCAAGCACTCACACACTCACGCATGTACGCAGGAAAAAAAACACTTCTTACTTATTTTATGTACATGTAAGTATGTATAAAAGCATGTATGTAGCGACTATTATCGTCACACGCGCGTGTTAAACATTTAATGTAAAATGTCAATGGCTTAAGCAGCATAATTCAGCTTACATGATATATTGAACAGTAACAAAAAAACAAGAAGAAATTATCTCTGTGGTGTGACAGTGAGAGCGCCACACACACACACACACACACACAAACAAATTACCAATAAAAAGGCATGTGCTGCTGACGCCAGTAGGTGGTATGATGTCACTAAAGACTCGCCACCCACATGACGCGCAGCAATGCCTATGTCGGAGCGCAAACGGCTGTCAGCAGATTTCCATGTACATACACACATACATATATATTTATATATATATGTGATAGACTAAATTCTGTACGGATACTATCTAACATTAATAGTTACAAAAATAAACATATAAATGTCAAAGTGTGTAGGTGAAAAGATATCAAAATGCAGGAAACAAACGTCACTGCTTTTGGTCACAGCCCAGTGAGCGGCCGTTTCTGCTGCTGTAGGTGGGCGTTTTTAGCATATTTAAAGTAGCCAGTATTCGCAGTGAGAGCACAGCAAAAAAAAACCAAAAATAGAAAGTTAAGAACTGAATCAGTTGAAAAATCTAAAAATAGCGTCTTTATGCTATTTCAGGAGCTGACTCTACTCTGTCAATTTGTAATGAAATTGTGTACTCGTTTGAACTTTGGCGTTTAGAAATTTAATTTTCAAAGAGATTAGTGGCAAAAAAAATGGTTTTAAAAAAAATACAAGTGAAATAGAATTCTGTACCGAAATTTGCTGAAGAAAAATCGACGGGAGGAAAAAAAAATTGGCACAAGAGACAAATCGATGGCGCCAGCAACTCACATAACATTTGAAAGCGAACATAGCAACAAAAAGTGTTATGTGAAGAGCAGCAGCAATGAATGAAAATCGTAATAAATGTATGTGTGTATGTGCATACTTTTTTCATTAAATTTTTTTACATATTCTTTTATTTTTTTTATTTTTTTTTTTAATTTTTTTTTTTAATTTTTTTTTAAATTTTTTTTTTAAATTTTTTTTTTAAATTTTTTTTTTAAATTTTTTTTTTAATTTTTTTTTAAATTTTTTTTTAAATTTTTTTTTAAATTTTTTTTATATATTTTTTTATTTTTTTATTTACTAATTTTTTTTTTTCAAATTTTTTTATTTTTTTTTATTTTTTTTTATTTTTTTTTTATTTTTTTTTTACTTTTTTCAAATTTTTTTTTATTTTTTTTCAAATTTTTTTTAATTTTTTGTTTTATTTTTTTAATAATTTTTCTTTTTTAATATTTTTTTTTTAATTTTTTTTATTTTTTTAATAATTTTTTTTTTAATTTTCTTATTTTTTAATAATTTTTTTTTAAATTTTTTTTATTTTTTTTAATAATTTTTTTTTTAAATTTTTTTTATTTTTTTTAATAATTTTTTTATTTTTTTAATATTTTTTTTATTTTTTTTAATAATTTTTTTATTTTTTTAATAATTTTTTTTATTTTTTTAATAATTTTTTTTATTTTTTTAATAATTTTTTTATTTTTTTAATAATTTTTTACTTTCAATTTTTAAATTTTTTTAATAATCTTTTACTTTCAATTTTTAATTTTTTTTTTCAACTTTGTTTCATATTTTTTCTATATTTTTTTCTTTTCTTAAATTCAATTCAATTTTCAGTTAAATTTTTTTCGCAATGTGACTAATGTCAAAGCAGTAAAGTAGTTCACTTAGCTGCGGGCACAGCACAGTGCAGAGTGTGCGATCCCAAAAGTCATTGCTTCGACTACTACAAGTTACAACATCAAGTGCCTGCCTACGGCTAACAAAAAGCCTAACTGAATTAGATTGCTCTCATTAAAAAAAAAACGGTATAAAATCAGAGTAGTAAAAGCGGGCAAAAGAGTAGCATGCAGAGGCCAAAGAGCGCTATGTAGGTTAATGGATAGTTTTTACGGATTTTTTTCATTTTACAAAAAGTGCAATAAAAAAAATTATAAAAGCAATAGAAGAAAAATTAAAATAATATAAAAATTATTAAAAATTTTAAAAGCAAAAAATGATAACAAAAAAAATATTTATTAAAATAAATAAATAAAAAAATATTAATAAAAACATTATAAATAAAATAATAACATAAATAATATGGAAAAATAATAAAACAATTAAATAAATAAATAAAAACAAAAAAATATATAAATACATAAATGAAAATAAAAATTATATTAATAAAAATATTATTAAAAAAATATGTATATTAAATAAATAAATAAGAAAATTTTTTAAATATTAAACAAATTAAAAATAAAAACAAAAAAATATATAAATAGAAATAAAAAGTATATAAATAAAAATATTATTAAAAAAAATGTACATTAAATAAAGAAATAAGAAAAATTTTTTAATATTTAAAAAAAAATATATATAAAAATACTTATATAAAAATAAAATAAAATATATACATAAAAATATTATAAAAAGTAATAACAACAAAAAAAATTAATAAATTTATTATTGTGTAATAAGAAAAAAACATTAACAAAAACGTAAAATAATAATAATAAGACTTATAAATATACATATTTTTAAAACACTAAAACAGGTCAAAAATAACTAAGCAATTGAAAAATAAAGAAACAAATCAATGACATAAAATAATAACAAATCTCTTCCATTACAAAAAAAATGTTGGCATAAAATTACGAAATCGGACTCAAATGATTGAAACTTAAGCAATGCACACGCCCAAAACAGAAAAAAAATTAAATGAAAAACTAATATATGGGCTAAAAATATTAGCAAGCCACATACAACAACACCCTAGATATCACCTCAGCAACACAAAAATCGTACGGCCGCCTGTGCTTACCGTCCGCAGTGCGTGTGTGCGTGGATCAAGATATTTATATATATATCTATGGGTTTATAAACCCCAAAAATTGCGCCAACACAATGCCAAATATAATACAACCGCAACAAAATCTACAAACACACACACACGCACCACCAATGATGCTCCATAAAAAATTCGAGGAGTAGGAGGCGCGGTACACAGCTGATACGACTGCTGCTACTGCTGCTATCTCTACTAGGAGATAGCGTCATGAGATGCTAGTTGAGTCGAGGAGTGATGAGAACTACAGCCAGTCAGTCAGTCACAGGCAGCAAATGACGACTAAAATAGACGCACATATGTATACACACGCACGCACACGCACGTATTTCGCCACATTACAGCAACATACGAGCAGCAGCAAATAAAATAAAATTAATGTGCCGTCAACAACTACAAAGCAGCGACATACTTAAGGCTTTTTCCGCATAGCAACAGTGAATTTTTTTGGGGATTTTTTTTTTTTTTTTTGCAATAAAAAGCGAAGAAGAGAAAGAATGCTTCGCTGGTTGGTAGGCCTTTTCTGAGGCCGGGCAAAAGCACAGTTATGTCGTTAGTTGCTGCCGCGCTAAGTTCAATTTGACTTTCCTTTGGCAAATTTGGGCGAAATGGCCGAAGTGAGTGAGTGCAGCATGGTGGTCGGTCTGAGATGGGGAGAGAGACGATTGTAAGTAGTTGTTGTCTTGACAGTCTGTCGGCTGACTGACTGCCTAACGCGTGAGTAGCGAGCGAACGGGTCATGTGCTTGTGTTGATAAATGTGTAATCAATGAGCAAAAAGCGAGCAATAGAAGTAAAATGGCATGACATAAAAAGTATATACATACATATGCTTGTATATATTTTTGTAAATACACATATCGACAGCGAGCGTACACTAGCATCTGTATGTAGTTTAGCATGTGCAGTGTAGTGTTGGCGCTGTATAATTGTGATGGATAGATTAAATGGAAATTTCGGAAAGTTTTAGCAGAAAGTTTTTTGATTTATTAAATTACGGAATTTTGAAAATTACCATAATTTATCTGCGAAGTTTTATATGATTCATTTCAGTATTTTTGATTGCTTTTAATATATAATATGTATATTATATATTTTTCAATTAATTTTGCTTTGCTATGCTTTTAGTGATATATATTTTTAGTTTAATTATTTTTTTACAAATTAATTGTTTCAATACTTTAGTAACATTTTGTTTTTAACTCTTTTGGTTTACTTTTTTAACTTTTAGTGTCTTAATTTTATTCAAATTTTCCTTATTTTTTATAATTTATTTGTTTTTCTTTAACATTTTCTTTAATCCCTTTTTAATATTTTTCTATATTTTTTTAACT